CAAAAGTGGTGCATGCCAACAGGCTTTGGGGTTATCACGGTCCAGGACATTTCAGTTGGGACAAAGTGGACAACAGAACAAATGACGCTGCTGAAGACGTGACACTTGAAGAAGCCACCGTCGAAGAAGAAACTCGACTCTGTTTTGAGAAGGGAAACGGTGAAGCTCTTGATGAAGTTACTACCACTGATGTGACTGTTAACAACGATAGGACATTTCCTGATGAAGCAGATGAACCCCATATGAAGCAGAAGCCAACGAGACGGAGACCAGTACGGAAGAAGATACGTCCAGTAAAATCAAGAGACTTTGTTGAATTGTAATTTTGTGTTTGTAATCCTGTACATTTAATTGAGTTATTGTTAATTGTTATTGGTTTAATGTAAGTGGCTATTGTTCGGGATTAACAATACTAAGGAGGAGCAGTGTTGCATCAGCAAGGTCATGTGACTAGTATCACGCCACCTGTTTTCTAGAAATATCCTGTTCCTTCGTGAATGCCCTAGCATTTACTAGATTGGGGGTAGCCTGATGTATATAAGATGGTCACAACGTGATGGGACAGTGTGTGTAGGTAATGAGTAATTGATTGTATGCGGACAAAATATTGTTGGCCACGTGAGACGTGAGCGTTTGTTATAGAGCGACTGTTGAAATTAAGTGTATCCTAAGTTGTATTCGGAAAGAATAAACCAGTTTTATTTAACAAAGGACCTGTGTCGCTAAAGTTTCGTCGGAACGAATTTACGGAAAATTTACTAAAGAGCGGAGACGTAATATTTAAAAAAATTATTGTACTTGTTTAAAATCAAGGTTTGATGTTATTAATAAGGTAAAATGGCATAACAGTCTAGTTGTAGGGAGCCACTGACTGTTATGTCCTGGGGTCCGAAAGTGCTGTCATTCGGCCTGTTTGTGACCAACACCTCCGAAAATCGACACTGTTCAATGGGGTAAGTGCTTCCAAGATCTGATTGTGATATCCCTTGAGATATAAATTGGCAGTTAACAAGTAAAAATAACAACTTTGGTTTTTAGGCTTGAACACAACTTTTGTTTGTAAGACAGGGTGAAGCATGATTAGCAGACAATTTAAAAACACTTTTTGCAACTGCTATTGTTTATTTTTAGCTTCTTTGGAGGGCTTTCAACCCAGGGAGATATGCTGACGGTGACATCTCTTGAAACATTACAAAAATGATAAATATGTAATTTTTTTCATCTAAAGTTAGTTTTCTTTGATGTGGTACGTTAATAACCAAGTAAAGTAACCTCATAATAACTTGATTTTATTTAATCATGGTTCTCAATAACAGGTTTGCACCTTTGATTATGTAGATGTTTCAGAAAACTGGCAAACTTCAATAGATAACAAAATCATCAAATATATTGATAAAAAAAACTTGAACTGAATAACCCCCAGTCTGAGAGTCAGAGAGATTTTTTCAATGGGTTGATTCCCAAAGGGAGGTTTCTAGAAATCTCTCTTATTTATTTTTTTTTACATTTTCAACAGTGATTTGAACTTCTTGTGACATCTGAAATCTGAATTGCCAACCAGCATGGCCGAATTCACACTTTTTTCCAGGATGTAAGGGAGTAAACCCATACCCTCATCCAAAATTCCACACAAAATATGGTACTGGCGGCACATACTGTACAATACAAGATAAGAGTTCTATTAATAGAGATGGCCAAGGAAGGCTCAATGAAATTAACTTACAGCTATAAGGTGGCTAAGTGCATTATCTGCCTGAAATGTAAGTGTGGCTGTAGTCATGATGAAATTCCTGTTGAAAATTAACTTGCAGAGAAAAGAGAAGATTTGAAAGGAAATCCCATAATGACAGCAAAGAAAGTGAAACATAACACAAGCAAACAACTTCATAAACAAGATTTCCTTGCTGAAACAGAACCTATAACAGGTGCAGATGTATATTATTACACATCTGCAGTTTCATTCCAAAGTGGCTGGGCTGAAAGACCTAGGAAAGGCCAAATGTATGTCCAAAAGAGTGTCACTGAGTTTCAAGATGATATCAAGCAATTGTTTGAATGTGTTCAGTACAACTCATCTTGGAAGAAAGATACTGGTAAAAATGCTAGAATATCTTTTGAAATAAATACACAGATAGATATGGCCTATCTAGTGAGAATGAAAAATCACACTGAACAATGAGATCCACAGTTCCTCGAGGATTTGCATGTTCACCTCATCCCACATTACATATTTACAGCAGCTGTTCCAGTCCACAGTGACAATGAAGCCTGCTTGTGACCTGATGACATTCAAAGAGAGAGGTTTATAGAGGAGCAAAAAGATGAAAAGGGTTTCCTTCCAACTGGCAGGTCAAATCAAAGATAAGTCTGCTAATGCATGTTGATAAATAGTGAGAGATAAGGTTACTATGGTCACCATGCCATGGGCACCTGGGAAGATTGTGTTCTGATCATTATCTGATGAGGAATTCTTAGTGATATGTAAAAAATGTTTTGATATTACCAAGTTTCATAGTCCTCTTCCATAATAATGTATACACCATCACCATGTGCTAAATTACTAGTGTGCATGTCCAGTCATCATTGTCTCTGTTGTAATGGTTTCTGTTCAGAATTGCAATCAAGTATTCATCAAGATGGTTGCAGAAGTTACTCTGGTGTGTGAAGAATGAGAGAGAGTATTATTAGCAGCACCAGTAGTTGTAGTAGAGCAGCATGAGTAGTAGGGGCAGAAGTGACAGTATCAGTAGCACCAAGGCAGCATTACCAGCATGGCAAATGAGGGAATATAGACCAATCAATGGTTTTATCTCTGTTTTAGACCAATCAGTATCTAATATTCATAAGAGTTTTTTATGTGACCAATCCTAATATTCAAACATGAACACTTTTACTGCTTTATGCACTAGGAATTCAGTATGGCTAACCCTCTGAACTCTGCATCTTTGTGGCCAAAAACTTTTGAGCAGTGAGATTTTTTTTTGGCTGTAAAGTGTGGTTATTTGTAGGTTAACAGATTGAGCCCTTTCTCAAAGTACATCTTTCTTGGTTCTAACCAGAATACAGTGACAAATAACTTAAAAAACAGCTTACCACCAAAATGGATTCCACATCTGTGTGTCTCTTGCTTTTAGAGTTTGCCTAATAAAAAAAATTTATAAATGCACAGGTGAACATCAGTAATTTGTCTAGTATTTCAGACATTTTTAAGTTTCTGTTTTTAACATCAACAGGCATGGCTCATATCAAATTTAAAAATGTTTTCACAATAGAAAAGCACTATATTTCCACATTATAACAAGAATCCTCATTTTATATATATAATGAAGATACATATCAGATGCGACCTTGCTCATTAATGATAACCAAAAGAAAAGAAGATCCAATTACCCAAACTTATGTGCTATAAATATTAAATTAAAACTTTTAATCAAGAATATTTCAACAACCACGTACATTTTACTTTGAATTTGGAACACAAAAATCCTCACCTGGTCTTGTGTAGTGTCTAATATTGGGCAAGTTTGTTTTCTTTGTGGGGTATTTTCCTTATTAATGGGTTGACAGAAAATTTGATGTGTTCTACCCTCAGTGGATATTTTAAGTGAAGATGTTGAATTATTATTTTCACTAGTGTGTCTGTGGAGCATTATGGCAGTTGCTGGTAAACTATGTATTGCTTTTTCAGTGTCATTCTCCTTTTCAGAAAGTTTAGATGGCAAAGAACTTTGTTTTTGATCTCCAGATGAGAAATTAAAATTATTTATAGCTTTTCCTTCATCATGTTGACAATTTGTGATAATATTATAATGAACAGACTTTCTGGAATTATTACAGCAGTTGCTTGTGAAAGGACTTGTGCATCTCTGTTCTACTTTCAATGGTGAGAAATTTTCAGGAAGATGGGTCTCACTATTAGCACAATAACTCTCATTTGGCAGTGATGGGCTCTGTGGTGACCATGCTGATTCATAACTGGATAAAGATAATGCAGGAGATGACTGGACAGAAAATGATTTAATTATTGTTCCATTTTCACTCTGACACCTTGCTGTATTACTAGTGAAAGCTGCAGTTTTTGAGATTCCAATCAAACGTCTTGGATCTTTTAGTAAATAGATCCGCATCAGGTTAAAATCTCCTAATGTGAGTTTGATTCTCCGAGCAGTTTCATCTTCATGTTGAGGAACCACCTGTTCCAAATAAAATACATTGTATGAAAAGAGAGTATTCTTTTTGGTAATACCTACTTTTGTCAAAAAAAAACAGGCCTATAGTCAACAACAACATCCGCAATCCAATTACGTCTGTAAACCACATCTCGTAAAATAAACTTTTGGTAGTGCAATTTCTAAATAACTGAAAGTGACAAATCCACAAAGGAATTATTTTTCAAACTTTATTTTAAAGAAGTTTATGCTTTTTTGCAATTATTTTTACTCTACAGTTCATTGTCTGTACTACAAAACATCTTTATCTAATAAACAAAATGATGTTTGCAAAAATGGAAATAACTAATTCTTTTATGTAATTTTTTGTTTCAGTTATTAAACAGTCTTATGTTACTGTAAATCCTAATGTCCTGATGTAAAACTTTTGAGAAGTATGTTCTTTTTACAGTATACACACTAAGTGTACCCAAACTTTTATACTAGAAAACTAAGTATTATTATTAGTCCTAATGTTTCAATATAGATAATTCAGGAATTAAATATTCAAATACCTAGTAAAATATAAGTTTACTATCCACTGACCTATAAAGCAAAAACAAATAATCAAACAATCCTTTTGGTAAAAAATTAAATCAAAACAGCATAAGGAATAATAATTCATTATCTAAATTCGATGACAAGGAACCCACTTTGAGACTAATAATGGCTGGAGACGGCTTGAATGGGTAATGAAGAAAAACTTTAATACAAGTTTAACATAACAGCAAATGTACAACGTACAGTAGATATATATCCGTGTCAGTGTAAATTACTTGTACCTGATGATGACAAAATCTTGTCGAAACGTTGTACATTTGCTGTTATGTTAAACTTATATTAAGGTTTTTCTTCATTACCCATTCAAGCTGTCTCCAGCCATTATAATTCATTATCTAGTTTTTCAGTTCCACAAATATTCTGTTATACCTTAATTGGGTCTCCAAAGAAAAGTGATGAAGAATTAATATCAAAGCTGTCATCCACAAGGTGAGCACGAACTCTAGCTTGCCTTTCTTTTTCCCGCAAGACATCACACTCACCACTGTCAGAATCCAGAAAAAAATATGGTTGACATAATTCATCAAAATTTGATTTCAAGGATTAAAAAACAAAAATACAAGGTAAAACTTGGTGTACGTGAACAAAATGAATAAAAATGTGATTCGAAATGTTTTCTCTGACACACGATTATCATTAACTTCTTATCAAAGCAAGCTATCTATATAGATTTGTATTAAAAATTAACAACTAATGAGTATAGCTAATATAATTAACCATTCTTACTTTTAATGATCAAAATGCATTGATTTTTCCAGTTGAGTACCTTGCTGTTAGCAATATTTGTTTCTAAATGTCACTAATGTGTATCTAAAATTGAAAACTATTTGAACACACTTACTACATTTTCACTATAAACAAGAAACAATCTCAACAGCATTTATATACTTACATAATCTTTATTACTGTTTTTATCAATTGAATTTTGCTTAATGATGTACTAGTTTGTTTAAATAAATCGCAAAGCTTATTTAATAACAATTACTCAATTTCTATCTCAATTTTATGGCTCATATACAAACAGTTTCACAAATTTTTATATTAAAAAATAAAACTGAACAATAATACGAGATTCGCCAAAATAAGTAGCACTGTGGTTGATATTATTATTCATTAGGGCTTTTTATATTATATTTCTTTTTACACGAGGCTTACAAAGAAAGTTCTTTTATATTTAGTTTGGCTTAAGTTTTTATGAAGTGAGTCAGTATAGGGGATTTGTACCAAACAAGATTTAAATAAAATAAATCAAAATGTTAAAAGTTTATAAAAACAGCAAAAATCAAAATAAAGAGTAAGTTACAAAATCCAATGTTAAAACAACAGGAATTATATTATAAAATCCAAGTACACATAAAAACTTAAAATCAAATATCAAAACAATTTAAATTATATTATAAAATCTACTCATATATAAAAACATATTTACATTGCATAGTCACCATTCCCAATGTGCATCTTTGTAATAAGACAATGTAGAGAAAAGCCACATAGAAAATAAGTGGTTCCTTATATTAAAAACAGAAATTTCAGACAGACATGTACACACCTGAGGCAAGCTAGCAAAAAAACCACATAGAAAAGAAGTGGCTTCATATATTACAAATAGAAATCACAGACAGACAAACAAACACGCACATGCTTGTCTCCATGTGAATGCGCATATTTTCAATGAGACAAGCTAGTGAAAAAACCACATATAACAATTTCTAATATATACAGAAAAGCCAGTGCATTTTGGTAATAATTCATTCCAACAGCGGCTTTTTTATCAAGTTGCTTAGCAAAAAAAGTATATAGGGTATACTTTTATGCTAAAATGGGTTCAGAATACACACACTTACATAGCATATATCAACAGAAGCTAGATCATGTCTCATTCCATCAAAATTGGCTTTCCTGAAATTTGGAATTAGGGTACTATTCTTCTTCAATTCTACAGGTAGTAAAATCCCACATCTAATAGTGCAATGGTCACTTGTTCTTCAATACTCACCAGCCACAACTCTGTCTTTTATATTCATATCAGATGCTAATATTAAATCTAATATATGAAGAGTGAATTGCATCCTGTTGAGTTAGAGCATATTAAAGAAAATAGCACTGAGGGCAAGTCAGTTTGGGTTAGTGTTAGTGGATATAAAGGGAAAAGTATTGTAATTGGGATTTGTTATAGACCACCAGGTCAGAATGTAGAAGATAATGAGAAACTGTATAAAGAGATCAGAATGATAGCTAAGAAAGGTGTTATTATGAGAGATTTTAATTTCAAGGGTATTGATTGGGAAAATTTCGAGTCTGATGGTAAGGTGGATATGTTTTTGAAAATTGTTCAGGATACTTTTATATACCAATTGGTGGTGGAACCTACAAAAGAGGAAGATATATAAAGCTACTCCTCCACCTTTTTTCAATACTCTATATATAGTAAATAATCTGTTCAAAAAACATTTCTCTCATTAAATTTGTTCAAATCCAACCAAGTCTCAGTGATACCATATTATCAAAATCCTCAGTTTTCACAAGTGCTTTGAACTCATCAATTTTATTTGTAATACTCCTAGCATTACAACAGTAAGAATAAATCATATATTTTAAACTATGTTCATGTTTTATGTCTGTTGTACATGTTTTCCTGTCAATTATATATCCTATTTTACTAATATCATAGTCATCTGTCTAGCGCTAGTTTAAATCTACCACAACAGCTGAGTTAATAGCTCTTGCTAACTCGCTAGCCCCTGCCTTGTCTAAGTGTAAGCAATCCATTCCAAAAAGATTAACTTTCCCATTAAAATTATCCCACAAATCCAACCAGCCTATTTGCTCATCCCTACATATTGATCTAAGCCTGGCATTCAATTGTAGACCTACTTTGTATCTCAACCCCAGTTATTGGCAGACCTCATTTAGAAATGTAATAGGAAAATTGTCATTTGATAAATAAATATTTGAAATGGTTTTAGACATGTGTTTTGTTGCTAAAAATGTTGTGATAGTGTGCCATATAGTTTGTATGAAGTCAACTTGGTTTAAGATGTATATATTGGTTTTCAAAAAGGCTTTGATAAGGTCATGCACAAATGGTCAATAACAAATTTGAATCTTATAAGAATGATGGAAAATAACAAACATTTAAGAAAAACTAGCATTTTTGGAATAGAATACTTATGTAAATGAATTTTCTAATGTTAAACAAAATTCAAGGAACAGCTTATGCTGCTGAGAATGACTGTCTTACTTATATGAACCAAAATACTCTTAATAACTGAATCAGAACATGCCCAAATTATTTTAAATGTTGAAAAGTATAAGTACATTTGACTAATGAACATTTATTAAAGACTTATTTCTTACATAATAGGAACAATAATGTCATGAAAATTGGATAGGGTGGGTATTACTGTTATTCTAGTACTTGTAGCCCAATCCTGTTCTTTTCACATTATGTTTGTATATTTGTGTATAGGACTATAAAACTAAAACAGTATTCTAAATGAAGCCTCAGTAAGGCTTCTTTATTTTTCTGAAATTAAAAAAATCTATAAATAATTTCAGAATTATAGTTCTCATAGATCTTTTTAATATAACTCAGCCAAAGGTTTTAGCTATTTATCAGTAATCACACTGTTGGCCATTAAGAAGTTTAAAGACAAGAGCTAAGTTGACTTGATTCAAACATTTAACATTTTTCATAGACTAAAAATCAAATACACACTTTTCCTTATGTGGAATTACTTCTAAAATTAAGAATTAAAAACTAGTGAATGTTTTCCTGGTGTGTTGTTTTTAATTTTAACTTAGTATTAGAGTAGTATTACTTAGTATTAGAGGTAACAATTATGATTTTAAGAGACTAAAAATCAAATACACACTTTTCCTTATGTGGAATTACTTCTAAGATTAAGAATTAAAACTAGTGAATGTTTTCCTGGTGTATTGTTTTTAATTCTGACTTATGAATGCACAGGTATGCTTTTTTCCTCTTCACCTATGTAACTGTCCCATATACCACGATTTTTCTATGTCAAATATTCTCTCTACAACTTGTGACTAATCTTTTGATTCGATATTAGCTATACACTACAGTATACATCATATCTGGCTTGTTCTCTGCATTACATTTACAATACAAAATACAGTTACTTGTATTAGAAATGTAACATCTAGTTCTAATAATGTTATATATTTAAATATTAAAGAAACTTTCTCACTTGTTTAGGCCTAGGTCTACACCCTCCGCAGGCATCTCGATATCACTCATTATCAGTTCTCTCAATGAAGATGTTTAATCTTGAGTCATTTTAAAAGCATTTAATTTTGAGAATGATGGCAATTTCAATCACTACTGTAGTGTAAGTTGTAACCATAGCATAGGCTAAAAATGTTGAACAAAACACATTATAACTTGACTCAACAATAACAATGACTCAAAAATAAAGACTGAATGCTAACTATAGTCCTACCTAGTACTAGTACTACTAACAGTGCTGATAGCGTATAATTAAATTAAACTTGCTGGTAATAATTACCGCACAGCCATCCTTAGAGTGGGCCAATTTACATGGTCATGTATTTTTTCCTACACAGGTTACACCACCACATAACAAGTTCCATTTTAATCTCAGTACACGAAACATTCATTAAAAAAAAAGACTGATATTAATCATAGTAAATTTAAATTTACGTAAATGTAACCTTTGGCTTTACCATCTAAAAATAAGTTTGCTAACGGATTTGCTATATTACTCAAAAACGTAACCAACTATGTCATTTTACAGAATATTGTTTTAAGCTATATTTTGTATGCTGCAATTTATATATTAGCTAGAGGGCGCATGGCATTAAGATCATGTGAGCTTAATCGCAGACTGAAGCCAATCTTACACCACTCTTAGTTTGAGAGATTTATCTACCTATAATATTGTTATGCCTCTGGTCGTTTCTTAATTTCCGGTATAAATTCTTCCCGAGGAACTTCAGCGATACAATTCCTTTCTTAAATAAAACTAGTTTATTCTTTCTCAATACAACTTTGCAATACACAAAATTTCCACAGTCAATACATTTGCAATCTCGATAACAAAGTACGCACTTTATATTACCGTCACTTTAACTTCAACACACGCTATAATTCACAACGATTTACGCACTTTACTTACGATCACTACCGCTCGCTTGACTCAATTATCTGTCTCTATATCCGTCTATCTGCAATTATATCTCCGCTTTATTTGCCGGGCTTATATGCTAAAATAAAGGACGCCTTGAAAAGACAAGAGTTGCCAGGAAAAGCCATGATCCTTCTAGAAACTCATGACATGTTACCAGCGTCACGTGACTTCCGCTGTCGTAACAATA